GTATAAGACATTGTTACGTTGAAAATATGAAAGATTTTATTTTTTCTGTTTATTTAAGGTGACAGCAAACGAGCGATGGATGAATACACGTCTGAGATATTTCTCGGAGGGCACAATACAATCGTGGTACATAACACCTGCGAGGATTCTTTATTGGCTAGTCCGATTATTTTGGATTTAGTCCTTCTGGCAGAACTATGCTCGCGCATTACGTTCAAAGTCGCAGATACGGACGATGGATTCGCTGAATTTCATAGCGTACTTTCCATACTGTCGTACCTTTGCAAAGCACCGCTAGTGCCTCGCGGAACACCGGTTGTGAACGCATTATTCAGACAACGAGCCGCGATTGAAAATATTTTAAGAGCATGCCTCGCGTTGCCACCGGAGAACAGTATGTTACTCGAGCACAAAGTTAACTTTGTTAAACGAGCTTGAAAAGGGAATATTACATCTTTAAAACTAAGGGTATTGTTCGCGAAGAAAGAAACGAAACAGTATTATCATTGAAAAGATGACCGTTCCAGAACATATTTTATTTACCAGATGACACCAGTATTAACAAGAAACGCTTTACATTAAGTAAAACGAGTATTGTCAGATACTATGGAACTGTTATACTTTTATAGATTCTTAATCTGTTGATTATGATCTTTGATACACGAGAATATTGTTTATATTAGATTGCCATAAATATTCAATAATATATAATTGTGATATATACATATACGTATTTTCTGAAGACGAGTATAAAATATATTTTTACAGTAAATAACGCAGAGTGAAACGTCGTTATGGAATATATATATATATATCTTTTTCTAACTTCTGCAAAGTTCCTTGTCATTTAACATTTGCATAGTCTATCTCGAGTTTATCACGCGGGAGAACGTGATCTTTTATGTTAAAGCACTGATGCTGATAGAACTCTTCTTTAAAATACCCTTAATGTTTTTAAGTATGTTATGCCACTTAGAAGTGGAATATATAGTATGTTATAAAAAATGCACGTTATAAAATAAACGTTCATTGAGAAAAATGTGTTTTCATTTAACTGTTTCAAAAACCCTTAAGATTATAAATTATTGTCAGGACCAGACTGTGTGAAATTGAAATTTGGATAGAATTTCTATTTTTTCATTGTGATAGGGATTTAGCTCCTGAGATTCTAATTGGTCTAACTTGAATATTTTTTGCATATTCAATTTTCATAAAATTTAATCTACATGAAATTTTTCAAGTTAAATATCCATTGAAATTAATAAAAACTTCTTCGTTAATTGAGTCGTTTATTTCGAAAGCGAAGCAACTCTAGTTTTGAAATAAATTCAATTTCATAGCGTAAAACTCATACCTTATTATTCAGGAGTTCGAATTACTCGCGGTCTGTGCATCGGCACTTGCACGATTACTGAATTAAAAAATCATAAAACAATCGAGTTTCAATTTGCTCGTTACGATCGGATTTCAGCGGTTGTGCTTTCCGTATTAATTGATGTTAAATCGAATTTGCGACTTGATTCACGTTCCGTTTTCCAAGTTATACGGTGTCAAGCTGGCCATAACAGATAGGATCGTGGCTGCAGCCATTACAGAGCACGAGCAACGTCATAGCTGGTCGCGGCTTCGGTAAAGGAATTTCAGAGGCACGACACGACAGTTGAACGTGGCATCAATTTTCGTTCGCAGCTAATAGCAAAGTGTTCACGAATTGCGCTCGTTTCTCGTCGCGGAACTTGCATCTTATGTCTCTCAGAGTGTGATCTATGACGGGTCCATTGTAATAACAAGTTATAGAGAAAATATCCTATGGTTATCGAGTGCCTGGTCATGAATTTCGGAAACTGTAGAATGCCTGTTGTGTAGGCCGAAAATAACGTAACGCCACAGGCGCCATTATATTGCGCCACCTGGATATCGTTACGAAGAAATTCCCATCGAGCACAGAGTTTGGAAAAACTTTTGAATAACGTTATTGCTCCAGCCCGCTAAACAGTATTCTGTCAGGTGAACTAATGAATTAAAGAATCTAACGCAAAACGCATTGATCGCGTGCGCGGCATGTTTAAACGAAAGGGCTTGGACCCGTTACGATTGTATTCACTTAACCTCAATTTTAAATGAAAAATGAGTACCTGCAGAGCTGAAAATATCATATTTTTCTATTTGCCTTATGATGAAAACATGCAAACACGTTCATTCTTGAGAGGAGAAAACGTGAGTATCAGTAGTAACACAAATTTAAGAATCTGAGAATACCAACAACAGCATATATTACAACTAATATCAACATTATTACATTCCAGCTAAACTAGTTTTTGACAATTTTGTGTGTGTCTACAAGCCAATAAACTTGTAATATTGGAATGTTCTATAGCTCTGTACAAAATTATAGAAGGAAAAAGAAGTATCACAGAGATAAAGTATAGAAGTAATGTTACAAATAGGATAGATTATTCTTTCTGTTAAAGATCAGGTAAGTCAAATTATTAATCCTCCTTGTGCTATCCTACATTTGGTACAGCCGATCTATTTAATCTCTCTTTCATTTAGGTCATGAAAGTTTTGTAAATACAGGCTTGAAATATAATGGAAAGATCTTAAATTATTGAATCGAAGATGCAGCACATTGAAGTTAATAACAAGGATCATAACTATAGTGAAGTAAAATTACATAATACTTCTAATAATATTAAAAGTGAAGGCGACAGTGATGTCAAGACGGTGTATAAATCGAACAAATCTGGATTGCCGACAAGCAAAGAACCGTTCGGTCAAATTAAGAATATAAACGAATTAAAGAAAATCACCCCTCGCGTCAAGCTGCTGTCGCACGATGCGAACAGTCTGAACGAGTTAACTAAGATCTCTTTGCACAATAAACAATCTGCACAAAAGAAGCTGTCGATAACGGAACGAACGAGGGAGGAATTAAAAAAGTATTGTAGGACTTGCGCCGGGTTGAAAGTTCCGCTGGTCGACATTTTTAGCGAGAAGGGTAATCAAATGAGATTGAGCCAACAAATTAAACATCTGGAAGAAATAAATCCGTATGACAGTTTGTCGACCCAGATGTGTATGGACTGTATATGCGATTTAAAGATGAGTTATAAATTTTTTATGCAAATAAAGAAGGCAGAAGTTAAACTGAAATCCATTCACTTTACTCTGGCCGATACTGCAACGAGGACTGTAGCAGCGAGCAAAGTACAGGCGACGGGATCTACGGAGAAACAAACCGAAACGATTGTAATTCACGACGATATAAGTCCGTCTACGAGTAAAGAGAGCGAGAAGCCGACAGCACCGTCGAGCTACGTATCTACGAGTTGTCCCACGAAGAAAGAGGAAGTTGAACAGATGTCGAAAAAAGAGAAAACTACAGTGGAACCTCAGAAATCTAATGTTAAGGATGAAATCGAGATATTCGAAGATATGGTTATTAACATAAGCAGCGATGATAATGACTCGATTGAAGAATTCGATCCAGACGATCCACCATTTCAACCTGACAGTTCCGATGCCGCGGAATCCGACGATGAACTCGAAACACCGAACGCCAAACGGCGGCACATCCAATCAAAAGAAAACATGAAACAATTCGTTTTCTTTTCTGATAACAATTTTGTTCTAGACAAGAAAATTAATGTTTCGAATCCAGCTTCGTACAGGTATGACACTGGCCTGAAAACGTACGTAAAAGTTAACAAAATGGATGGCAACGATTGTTCTGTCGCGTCGCATGCTACCGCTAAAACCGAAGTTGAGAATGCGAAAGAATCAAAACAACCGAACATATTGAAACGTCGTTTATTATCGCAATGCAAAAAGGAATCTACGGAAGAGGTGGAAAATGATTCCGACAAGAACTACAAGGATTTTAAAGTACAAAAATTAGATGTAAATAATTCGTTAAATCTTAGTACCAGTCAAGAAAATGGTATCATGTACGTTACTGTAAAAGGCTCAAAACCGAACGAATTGTTGCTAGTGAAAGTGAAGAAGATGGACAAGCCAGTAGACAAGAAAGATGAAAAATTCATAGGGAAGAAAGGTTTTGATATTACGCCAGTGGAGAAGATTTTAAAACGATACGAGTCACTGGCCACGAAGGAGAAAGATTTATTTCCAGAGCGAACGAAAAAGGCGGAAATGAGAGAACAGATTATAGAAGAACAAATAGAAGAATATAAAAAGAAACGGGAGAAGGTTTTAGGTGGGCATAATTCTATATCAGAATCCTTAAAGCTTGAGGAATCTCAGAGTCGTTATTTCAAACGCAATGAAAGTCAAGATAAACAAAAACCGATTACTAAAGTTGACAGCGATTCGGCTCCTGCTGCCGAGAGCATGCAGATTGATAAAGACGACAGTCAGTTAGACAATTCGATTATCACAATTGAAAGCGATGTCTCAGAATCTGTAGAGTCGGTCAAGGAACTGTCGCCCAATGACAAATCCTATGCGAATACTGACGAATATCTGTCGCGTTTGTCGAAACTTAAATTGAAATGGGAAGAAGCCAAAAAGAAGAAGGAGTCTCTTCAAAAGGAGCTAGACGAATCTTACACCGAAGGGAACATAGAAAAATTGGCTAGGATCTTAGGAGAGAAGGAAAAGAATCTGCAGGATTTTCAGGAATATTTAAAACAACGTAAAATCGTGATTACGAGATTGAAGAACGAAGATATAATCTCGTTGTACGAGGACAGAAACAATGCTATATTTAAGAATAATTTACCCGATTTAATAGACGAGAGTCATCCGTTGGATTATATTCCCGAGGAACATTATTTGGAATGCGATTATTGTCCACAGACGTTTGCCTCGAAAGAAGTTCTTGAAGAACATTTAAAAAGACACGATTACAAGATCATGCACTTCTGTGAAGACTGTATGGAGGAGTTCCCGACGAATAAGGCGAAACGAAGTCACAACGTGATTTGTATAAAGAAATTGTTATGCAGATACTGCGGTATAATGTTGGACTCGAAAGGGAAGAAACGTCAGCACGAACAGAAACATTACGACAGCATGTTCGGACAGTTGTGCGACGTTTGTGGTGAGAAATTCAAACATCAGAGCACGTTGGATCAGCACGTGAAGACGCAGCACATGAGTTGGGAGAAAATATATCAATGCCCGAAGTGTCCTAAGAAGTTCGCATTCAAACAGAAGCTCAGCTTTCATTTGAAATCTGTCCACACGACGCTGAGAGCATATCTGTGCGAGGATTGCGGGGCCGATTTTAAGAACCCCGCAAGCCTCAGACACCACAGAATACGTAAACATCAACCCGTAGGTAATAAAAGAGAGTGCCAAGTCTGTCACAAACTGGTACCTTTCTACAGCCTCTCGAAACATATGCACACTCACAAGGCGTATACCATTCAGTGTCCCCATTGCGATAAGATGTTCAAAAATAGTTCTACTCTGAAACAGCACGTGAGAATCCACGAGGACCAACGTCAGTATCGGTGCGACACTTGCGGAGTTGGTTTCAATAGAAGGGACGGTTTAAGGCTGCATATGAGGGTGCACGAGAAATCTGATAGCCGAGGATTGAAAGAGTGTTCGTGTCAGGTGTGCGGCGAGAAATTTCCGAATCAGTCAACGCTGGTTATACACAGGAATCGAGTTCACAAGGACGGTAGACAGTACACGTGTCACATATGCAACAGGTCGATGATCTCCACCAGATCACTGGAATGGCATATGTCTCATATTCACAACGAATCGCTACCTAGAGAAGAGGTGGACGGGTCGTCCACGGAAAAGAGAAGGGCGTCCTGTCATCATTGTAACAAGACGTTCAAGACTGAGATGATTCTGAGGACACATATCAAGAACACGCACATGGAGAAAGATCCCATGAAGTGTTTAGACTGCGAGCTGACGTTCACTTCCGAAGTCAGATTGAGACACCACATGATGGTCACGCACAACAGACTGGAAGGAACGCTACCGTGTCCGCATTGCCCGAAGAGGTTTGTGAACCAGCTCAGACTAAAGACTCACATGATATCCCATTCTGAGGAAAGGCCGTACACCTGTGAGATTTGCGGTTTCAATTTAAAGACTAAGATACAGTTGATCAAACATCATCAGAACCGGCACAGCGACGAAAGACCGTTGCAGTGTAGATATTGTCCATGGCGGTGCAAGCAAGTTAGTGCCCTTGTATGTCACGAAAGAACACACACCAACGAGCGACCGTACTCTTGTAGCGTATGTAGGCAACGTTTTAAATATTTAGGTGATAAAAATAAGCACGAAAGACGACACGAGAGTCTAGGGGGATCGGGATTCAAGCGGATAGTTCTCGGTCGAAACATAAAATCAAAAGTGCAACAGGACTCGTCTTGTTCCGATCAGGATCAAGAAGCTTCGTCGAATACCGAGGCTCAAGCTGTCGAAGGCGAATATCAAGAAGAAACGAGTGAACAAGCGTTCGAAGAAGAACAGATAGTCAAGTTCGAGGAACAAGAAATTGTGAAGTTCGAAGAGCAAGAAATAGCAGAGGAATACGAACAAGTATACGAACAGGTAAGAATGATTGCACGATTAAGCAAGGAAGATTCGTATGTCCTGTTCTTGTAAAATTGAGTTCTCATATGTTCTCAGGAGTATGAGGAAACGTCTAGGGAGGCATCGGACGCAGCGGATGTTATAATGAACATGGAGGATACCGTTTATACCGAAGAGGTGACCGCGGAAAGCATTGAACCTGCAGAAATTATTACGGACGAGATAATGACGAACGAGATATTACAATCTGGTGCTGTGGTTCATTTGCAACAAGAGGACGACTCAGGAAAAATACAAGTGATACCAGTGATGCTGTCCTTACCCGATTTATCTGAAACGAACACGGAGGTCAATTTAGCCACGGCATCCATTATGTATAATAATTAAAACTGATATCGCATCTTCTTCTATCATCGATGTAAAAAGAGAAATAAGAAACGTACATTTTAACATTTTGATTATATACTTTCAACAGCAACTGTTTATTTGGGACACGAATATTATATGAACGAGAGTAACTACTCAGATCACATTCCTCGTAGATCCGACTTAAACATATTCTAAACGTGTATATTTCCTTTTCCTATATTATATACATGTTCGATTACACTAGAACAGGCATTAACAGCTGCAAAGTATATTTCTATGTACACTGTTATATTCGTTGGCATGGATATATCTATTGATTAGATCTAAATCAGAGTAAATATCCTGTTATTTATATAGGATTATTGCACTTTTTGTAAAGACATGAACAATTTCTGATTAAAGCTGAACACTAGCATAATGTATGATTAGCCTATGCCTGTACTGGATAATTAAAATGATATGCCCAAAAGTCAAATGGGTTGTCCATTACATAGGAGTTTTATAAGATTATATTTTAACGTGTGAAAAATACTTATTAAACATCTCAGATTTAGAATTGTAAAAAAAATTAACAAGTCAAGTTATCACCTTCGTTTGTGCTCTTCGTTAAATTTACGTTCTATTATAAATATCACTGTAGCAATGATAGAAAGTATTTTGTACAAATCTATATAAGAAAATGATTAAGTATTTTACTTGATACAAATACAAAGTTTCATTATTAATAAAACTGACATCGTGTTTGTATAATCGCATACCTGCTCATAAATCTATTTACGATTGATTGAGATCTATCATTATCCTGTTTTGCTGTTCTTCCATTCGCTGACACTTGTTATATTCCTTGTTGTTAATATTTATAAGTATTGCTCATCTTTTAATTTATCGAAAACCATGCATTTCGTAGTTCATAAATTATAATGAGTTAAGGAAAAGATTATTAACGTTTTCGGTGTTCCCTGCGTACTTTATGTCCTAAGATTATTCTTGTATCTTTATACACATACTTAAAGCTTGAAGGGAAAGTTGTCGAGTTTCGTATTACACGACAAGCGTTTATTCAAACGGAGATTAAATATAAGCGACATTCGCGTCATGTTCTATAATGATATATTAATTTTTTAAAGTACGATTAGGTAAAAATTTTGATTGTTCAGTGTTCGTCGCGTTCAAATTTATTACACTTATAATCATGACGATAATTTTTGTATACAGTTCATTAAAGGATTTAAAACTCACTCTTGACGTATTGCATAACTATTTAAATTTTTATTCATGGTATGTTACAATAATAAGTTGTACAATAATGTTCGGTTTCTTTTTTTTACTTCCAACTCATTTGTAAGTACTCACGTTTCACCGTGGCAATAAAAGAATCCATATATCTAATGTTTTATAAAAATTCTTATAAATATTCACGTATTTTCATTATAGACAAGTGCGTAATCTCGTTAGATCTTCATTAAAATTGTACAGAATGCTTTTCACCGTAAAATAATGTACTATGTGTACATTGTTAGTAATAGTTCGAGTATTAATAACTGTGTTACGTTCTTATAAAACTTTTGCACGTAAAATATATATATGTATATTTGTATGTAAAGATATAAAATTAATGTACACGTGTATGTACATACATTAGAAATAAATGTAAATAGAGATTAATTTTACCTAATTCAAAGACGAATACTGAAGTCGCTATACAAGAAAAATGTACAAATATACAAATTGTATAGTAACATTAAAATTACGTTAATTTCTCGTGTTATACTATTAGAAATAGTTCGTTTAGCTCGAGGAAAAATTTAGTTTTAATAAGCTCTAAAGATCATTGCAATAAGTTTTCATTTATCAACATTTCGATAATATTGCGCAAGTACGAACCACGCCTTAGGTGACATGAAACCGTCCGGTGGACTCTCGCCTGCTTTTGCCAGACCTAGAAAATAGTATAAATTGATAAATAATAAGTATTGAATTCTATAAAAACTATGATACACGATACGCACTGCGCATTTTAGTTCCCGATATAAATTCAAAGTCCTCTTTCCGTTTCTCATCGTAAAAAGCCATTCTTTTGTGTTTCTTGTCGTATGCTGCAACTTTGAACGGTATAATTTCTAACGATTGCAAGCCCCGGGCCATCGCTAGAACTCTGGCACCGTGGGTGGGATCATACAAATTTCCATCCGGTGTCGCATTCCTGTTCGGATGCGGAATACCCGCTGGATCTCTTCCTACGATGTAAAAGTTGGCACCCGCGTTCATTCTAGCTTTCGCGTGCCACTGTACCTGATACCGAGCAGAATAGATTATACATATATCTAACTGTCGTTTTAATTAATTCGTTGCGCGTGATCACAGTCTTTACCTCGACTGGCCCGGCGTACATCATTGGGCTCGGAAAAATTGCTAACAGAGTAGAATTAGCGTCTAAAACGCCTTCCGTGAATATAGCTTCGTGCTGCAGAATTCTTGTATGCAATGGTACGTCGTCGTCTTTTGTCCAACCGCCCAGAGGATGTAATAACAGTACAGGATTTTTAAAACCCCTTTCTTCTAATAAACGTTTCCTCGTATTCTATTAGGAAGAGGGGAACATTTTATATACACGTAAATTGGCGCAGGCAATATCAATACTTTTTGCACCAAGCCACAGAACATGTATAAAATTAGTGAACGTACCTGCATTAACATCGCGTGACCGTTGTGTATGGGATTTCTAAGTTGAAACGCGAACACCGCGTCGGCTTTCATTGTTTTACACTTCGTTCTAATCTCGTTTGGTGTTAATCTATATTTATCTAGGCCATCGAGCCACTTGATTCTTTGAATAACTTCCACGTCTCCGCCTACTAACCAGTCTCCGGATTCGTAAATCATTTTAACGTACGGATGGCTTAAGTTGTTGGTACCGAACTGCCAGCCGCATCGTTCCTCTTTTCTGTGAAAGAAGAACTCCGGCCTACGTAATATCGCGAGATTCTTGTTGTTGTGTTTCAAAGTAAAAGCTGAAAGTCCATCTAAACGCTCTTTATCCTCCGTACGTATCGCGAGAACTATAGGAACAGATTGATTAACTTCCTTGTCACCGTCCAGTAGACATTTCAAATGCTGAGTCTGAAAGTATTTAACAGGTTTATATCTGTAGTGATAAGAAATTTTTATCAATACTTTTATATTATTTATGATTCGCGTTATTCGCGATAAATACCTGAAGATATTGGTGTTCTCTCATAAAGCCGGTAAGAGGCGCGGCCCAGCCTTCTGCTAGAACCTGGAGCCATTGCACATCTATTTCGCTTATTTCTAAGCTCTGAAGCGTGGCTGCTTCTGTTTTCGCAGAAGGTATCCGCGGTTCTGGAATGAACAACTCCCTTATTGGCATTGAGGGTTTTTGTAGTACCGGTATAATACACTGTTTCTCCAGAAGATCAATAACGGTCGTGGCTGATTCTTCTGGAGTACAGTCCTCGGTGGTTACCACTAAATCAGGATTTACTGGCCTCTCGTACATTTGATCTATCCCAGTAAAACCTTTGATCGTCCCCTGCCGCGCTTTCTTGTACAATCCTTTCGTATCCCTAGCCTCGCACACGTTAAGAGGCGTGTCGACGAACACTTCGAAGAACGGTAGATCCGACATTCTATGAATCTGTCTCGCCATTTGTCGGTCTTCCTCGAACGGCGACACGAAACTGCATAAACAAATTTGGCCGCTGTCGGCAAATAATTTAGCTACTTCCGCGACTCTTCTTATGTTCTCTTTTCTATCCTCTTTGCTGAAACCAAGGTTGCAGTTTAAACCACTCCTTACGTTATCTCCATCGAGTCCGTAAGCAGCGATTCCGTGATTGACTAATATAGCTTCGACTTGGAAAGCTATCGAAGTTTTCCCTGCCCCCGAGAGACCAGTCAGCCAGACTGTACAACCCCTGAATCCTCTCACGCTTCCTATCGCTTGTCCACGTTTTGCTCTTGAAACGTGATGTGCCTGTTCTGACACATTGCTACAGGTCTAAACGGAAAGCGGAGAAGTACATATAAGATTCATTGAAAACATCTCGTATTTTTATTAAACGAATAATCATTATATTTATAACATGAAACAAAATCAAATCCATACAACTGACATTCCATTCTCGTTTGTATTAATCCAGATTGAAATACGAATTTAAAAAGTTGAAGTATCACAAGATAGACAAAGTAGTTTTTAAAACAAATGCTGACGAGTACAGTGTGTTCTTAAAATTCTAAACGCTAAATCAGATCATGCACTATAAATGTATTTTAGTTAAAACGTACCGTCATCATTCGTTTATTTGGAATTTCAGCAGTTTCCTCTGACATGATTATGTTATTCCACTTTCGTCGTACAATATACGTGGCACTTTGATCAGGCGAGATAATTTAGTGTGTAATAAAATATTTCTGGAAAATGGTTATTTTCCGAGTGTCAGAAAATAAATCTTATTTGTGTAACGATAGTTACAGATCTTTTAACTGTCGTCATTAGTAGTAAGATATGTTTAAATTGGCGATAAGACGCGGACGTGTTACAAATTCGTGATAGCGAGGCATGTTTTTAACAATACTGTACGAAGTACGATGGTGGTGGTATGAATATGAATGAAGCGAAACCAGTTCTAGATGGTAGCGCTTCGACCAACGTGGCATGTCAACCATGTCAACCGTCAACTGGTAATTGTAATAAACTATTCATGTGCTACTTTTAAAAATCTACTGTGGATGCCAGCGACCGTTTTACCTAATTGTGAAAGTAGAGACCGACTGTTTTGGAAATTATGATGTATATTATCATACTTAAAACTTTACTGTAAAACTTTGGGGCGTTCGATTTGTAACCTACTTTTGCTACATGCATTTATTTTTTATCATTGTCGAAAGGATTTAGGTCATTCATTTACCGTTGAAATAAGTACAAATAGTCATTTCTAAATCTCTTTATTTCCATTATGTATACATTTACGATAGAACTTAGATTTTTCTTGTAATGTACTTTTGATTCTTAGAAACGTTATTTATTATGTGTTCTACACATATATGTCCTGTATTCGGATTATCAGGAAAATAATACGTATTGAGATTCAATACACTTTTCAGATTGTATCTCAGAGTTACAGAATACATAGGTTCTCCAATAGGTCCAAAAATATCATCTATATGACCTAGCAATTTATATTTTACTTTTACATTATTAAAATCTGTATTGACTATGAACAAAGGTGTCCCAAAATCTAAAAGAATGTTTGGTGAATGTGGTTTTACAATCACTGTATTGAGCATTCCAATAATACTAATAATTTTTCCAACAAGATGTTCACCCTTTGCTTCATGACACTCTATCTTTAGTTCTTCAAAACATCTGTTCACCCTATTTATACAGATATAATATAAATCTGATATGAAACCCAGTTATAAATATTAAATGTAACTTACTGATCCATTTCAATCTCTTCGAAACTATTATTGCGATTAATTTTTATCTATGTACTTATATTAAGCAAACTGGTATGATTCTCTTGTGTACAGCTTTTCTTCTTCAAATATCTTGGGTCATAATGTGAAGTTCTTACATGCTTAGGAACAGAATACCAGAGAGGTCAAATAAAATACAAAATCTAATAACTGTATACTCGTGTCACAGGCTTCTCATTGGTCGTCTTTTTTATAAACAAAACAGAATGTTCAATTGTAACGATAATAAAAAGTTTAAGAAATATAGCTTTTAATGAGTAAAAGAAGTGTCCAGTCAGTATAGGTTTCAGAAATCAACGATACTTATTTTGATTATACAAAACGTAAATGTATTTTAGTTTTCTTGGAACATATAAATGTGTCAAACTCAAGGTACCAAAAATATTGTTTGAACTATGATGTTCTATTAAATGTCAGTACTCATTACCTCAACTCCAACAATATTTTTATTACATTTATAAATTATGTAATAAATTCAGTATGATATAAAATTGAATATTATGTACGGTTTATATGTCCATCTATTTACATTCGGATATTCAATTTTTTTAATATTACTT